GGTAAATCGTCGAGCCGGGGAGTCCAGGAATCCCTTTTCATCCTCTGTTGCGGCGAAACGAATGCCAGAAAGTGGATAAGTTCGCGGAATACGACGCCGAAAAAGTCGTCGAACAGCCAACGAGATCGTCTCGCTGGGGTTGTTCGATGTTGATTCAGCACGCTCACCAATAGCGAACACCTGTTACCGGCGAGTATCTCGAGTTTAATCAAGCCCCGGATCCCGAAGGAGCAGCCATCAAAGCGTGTCCTCCTTTAAACGACGCGATGTTGCGGAAAAGCTGAATTTAGAGTTGCCCCGGGTACTTGCGAGATAGAGTTCCACGCTGAGTCCTTACAGCCGCTCCAAAGCCCTCGCGATTACCCCTCGAAGACACAGAGTGTGTTTATTTAGGGGTTAACAAGTAGGTTTTTTGGCTCTCGTGTTCGTTGGAAGGTTTTGCGCCACGAATTAACCTTTTTGCGGTCCGTGTTCGCCTCAAAAGCAAACCAATGCGACGCCATTTTGTCTTCTTCCGTGATTTTATCAACTCGAGCAATTTCTAGAGAAACCCTTTGCAAAATGATCGGTATTTAATAAATATGAGTGAAATAAAGTAATTAGTTGTGGCTAAATATCGTTGTAATTCGCTGAACAGCCGCCATTTGCAAAAGCTCGACCGCAATTTGTGCCCAAACAACGGGGGAACCCTACTTTCGTGGGTGAACGGGGAATTTTATTTTCCCGCGGAAATTCAATTATCGTTCGCGGACACCTCGTTTCGGTCGCGCGGAAAAAGTAACGCGACTCGGTCGATTTGCGTGAGTGGTTATGAATTGAAAGCGTCCGATGAATATTTATACGGTTGCTCGAGTGTTTCCTACGTTTCATTTTTCTTTTTTTCGAGCTTTGGTACTCGTAAGAAAATCGTTGCACCGAATAACTCCTGTTAAACGGATCGATAACTCGGTTAATCTCCTCTCTATCGAAAATTTGTACGGGATAGAAAAGTTAGAAAATGTAATTTCCAATAACCTACGTCATATACATTTTACTTGTAACAGCGACGATAAACGAGATATCGTACAGTTTAATATGAATTGGGGCATGGGAGGCAAACTGAATTTACTCCCACTCGAAAGGAGCATTCTAGCAGTTCTTTAAAATGTTTTCTGCTTAAAAGAGCCGAATTGCCATCGAAAAACTGAATTATTAACTTATTATAAATAAAGCTTCATCCATTCTCGTTACGTATAAAAAACAAGAACGTTCGGGTCCGTATCTCGGTTAATATCGATTCTATCGAAAATTTGTATAGGACAGAAAAGTTTCTCAATGTAATTTCCAATAACTTTCGTAATAGATGATTTTGCTGTAAACGCGTCGATAAACAAGATATCGTGGATCGAAATTCAATTGGGGGTGGGGAAGCGGGAGGAGCAAATGAATTTACTTACGTGCCGAAGGATCGTTCTATCGGGGTCTCCGGGGTGTTTTCTGCTTAAACGAGTCGAACTACCCCCGCTGTCATCAAAAAGTTTGATCCTCTAATGAGCGGGCTCGGTTAAATTCATTTAACTGCGATGCTCGAGTCCCGCGCGAATTCCTCTTAACGGTCGCCTCCAGTAGTGGCCAGTTTTAATGCACTCTATAAAGTGTACCCTCGGTCGTTGAAAGCAAATAACTTTATATCAATTAAACGTTAACGCGTTGAACGCTGATCGCATTTCCGTTTGTCTCGCGTCGAAGAGAAATTTTCGCTACCGGGGAGCACCGTATCGTCATTAATACTTCATAAAATCGTTACGCGTTCCAAAGTGACTTTCGCCTGTTCTCCGTCGCGCTACGGGTTAATATTGTACGAACTAGTTGGCCTGAATATCAACAAGCTCGCTGTTCGTAGTCCTTTGCCTCGCGGAGGTCTTGAGGAGCATGGCAAGAACTACGATACTGCACCAGAAACCCATACACAGAAAACTAGTGTCGGTGTGTATCGTTGATAGTAACTCGAGATTTAGGCGCTCGCCACCAGAGGGCCACGCTCGACACTTCCTCTCTCGCAAGTGACCATTCAATTTCTTCTTCCTTCCTCTTTCTATCTAACTCACTTCTTCGATATTAATATACAACTTTTAAGCACAGACTGAGGCTCGAATCGATCGTTCGAGTGCAATTCACTTATTGATCGATGCACTATTGATTTGTTGAAATTTACGGTTGGGAAATTTTCAATTGACCATCTTGAAAAGAACTGTCCATTTAACCACTTTGATCGATCAATTTCAATGTAACGTTCTCGCAACAGAGAAGATCGATCTTCCTTAACGATTTTTCACGAAAGTTTCGAAATGCACGTGAGATTGGTTATTTTGAAACATGTAACCGGGTATAATTACGCGCGAATAGTCCTCCCGGGGGGTAGGGGGGAGTGGGATCGACCGCAAATACGCGATGATCAGCATTGTAATCGCATCAGAAACCGCAATTATGTAACGTGTTGTCAGTAGAGAAACGAGCGGCTTTTTGGCAATTTAGGGAGCGGATTAGGGGGAACTCGTTAAACCCGGATGGCTTCAACGACACTAACTGGCGTTAATCGGAACGTAGTTGCCATTGACGCCAACGGGGCCACAAAATTTGTTTCTGAGCCGTTAAAGGGCCGGGGTTCGCTGACTCCGAGCAATTTCTAATTGAAACTGACCGCGGTCGTAGTTTAAATCAGCAAACGGCGGCGAATTAGCCCCGTGATTCCCCGTTTCCTAATTGCACGACTCTGTTTTTCTCCATTGGGACGCGAATTAATTCAGTGTCTCGATCAGTTTATCGAAATCTCTCTGAAAGTCTCTTTGAGATAGCAAGAGAGGTTATTATTATTTGTACAATTTGCACACAAAATACTGTAATATATTATAGAGTGTATTCTACCGTTTTCAATTGGAATAGTTTTGTTAACAAAAAAAATTCTTTAAATTTCCCTAGCATTTCTCGAGGGTTTCTTTGCCAGGAAGAAAGATCGTTTTCCGTTTGGAGCAACGTTGTTGGTCGTTTGCGTCTCTTATCGAGTAGATATCCGGGCATTAGCACGGGGGGAAAGAAAAGTTTTCAGGAATGCTTTAATATCGTACCCGAAGCGTTGACCAAGCCTGTAGTTGAAAAGCTTTTCGAGAAGTTTTAATTGCCCGCATTCTTGGTTTGGGCTCTTGTTACTCGCCGCCATCCTGATGAGGTTACTGATCAATCGAATACCTCCTCGTCCGAGCGAACCCTCGATAAACTTTACGTTTTTCTTCCCTGTTTCTTCGCGCTGTTCGTTAAGTCATCCCGCCCGCAATTCAAAATGGCTTCCCCCGTGAATTGTTCGCTGCTTTCGATGGGCTCCTCTCCTCGTTCGCAACTTTTCTTTACGGTCCTTCGATTTATTGCTTTTGCAAAGAGAACGTTGCTTTAAAGAAATTGGTTACAGAGATTCCATATAAAATATTGCTCTCAGGATTATTTCTTTAAAAAAAAAAACCAATTTTAAGAAAAATAAAAATAATTGAAAAATGAGACGAAGAATTGTTTTCGACGACAACGTTTCGTCGATGGCGGTATTTTCGAATCGAGCGGTTGGATATCACACGACCAATTAGCGTCGAGCTCCCGAACGTTAAATTCCCAAGGGATATACTGTTCCTGGTTTTTTTGTTTTTTTTTTTTTGTTCCACGTCGAACGAACTCAGCCGCGTCATCTAATAACACGGCGCTACGAATGGCAGCCGGTCCATTGATATCCCGTCGAATATGGCTTTAAATTCTGCCGCGTTCGTTTCACGGCCGCGCGAACCACGCCTAACTGTCCGCGGTTTGACAGCGCGCTTGTCGCCGTGATCGAATCTCGCGGACAGTTTTCGTCGAAACACCCGATGTAAATCCGGAATTTGTTTCGCGCGCTGGGAGGTCGTAGAGACCGACGAATATCCCGCGGGGTACGCCAATCGGAATAATAATATACCCGACGATCTATAAATCTTGATGGGGGCTCTTTCCGCGGACGGAATCGACGATAATCGTGGGAAATCCGAGCTGCAACGTCTTGCAATCTAGCTTAATATTTTCATAGTCTTTTCTGGAAATGTTAAACCACAAACTCGGGGAAAAATTCAACCCCCTGTGGGTGTACAAATTGGATATTATTGATTGGAATCTGGGAAAGGAAGACTATGTTGGTTGGTTTGAAAATAAAAATATATTTCGAGGGTAGTTATTACAAGCATCGTCTATCAAACATTTTAAAAATATAAATACTTGTAATTGCAAGAAAAATAATCAAATTTCAACCCCTTAGTCGAACAATGTAAATATTATTAATTGGAATCTGGAAGAGGAAGACTGTGTTGACAAACATTTTAAAAATATAAATACTTGTAATTGCAAGGAAAATAAAAAAATTCCAACCCCTCAGTCCAACGATGTGAATATTATTAATTGGAATCTGGGAGAGGAAGACTGTGTTGGCTGGTTTGAAAATAAAAATATATTTCGGGGGTATTTATTACAAGTATCGTCTATCAAACATTTTAAAAATAAATAAACTTGTAATTGCAAGGAAAATAAACAAACTTCAACCCCTCAGTCGAACGATTTGAATATTACTAATTAGAATCTGGAAAATGAAGACTATGTTGATTATTTTAAAAGTAAAAATATATTTCAAGGATAGTTCCCATTACTAATATCATCGGTCAAATATTTAAAAATAAATGATCGATAAAATTTTTACATAATCAAAAAGTAAGCGATTCACTAAAGTTGGAAGTCTTAAATTGTGATTGACGACTACTTTGTTCTCGTCAGAACTGGTGATTTAATAATCGTGGCTAGAAAGAAGTTTTCAATTATTTTTCAACGAAGGGTAAATATAATCGTGAAAAGAATTTCAGTTTTGACACTGTCAGGATTACAGTAACGAGTGGTACGTGTCCTAATAACCGAGTTAAGCCAACGCGACTACAACTCGGAATCAATCATCTTGATTTCAGCCTGTCCGGAGTCCCGACCAGAATGGATGGAGCTGGCTGGCGGGGGTGGCGCAGTCTGCTATGCCCCGTCACGTCTGGGTAAACTCGTGTTGCGTATCACTGGATTTCCAAGGGTCACTCAGCAGTGTCATCAAACTCAGCAACAAGGAGACAGCCACCATTGTGAAACGCGTCACTTATATCTCGGCTTTCACCACCCCTGGGACAGAGATCTGTGGAAAAGTTGGATTAAACAGGTAACAAAAACAATACCAGTTACGACAGCAACCCTTTGAAAACTGAAATTAAATCTAAAATATTACACTAGCTTTTAAATATTTCATATTTTATTTTTCGTAACTATTTTTTAAATATTTTATATTTCATTTTTCAGTAACCTTAGATTTCCTCCGGCTACGAATTTTCATTTACAGGTATTCTGTTAAAAAAAAATTAGATTTACATGGAAATCCACTTATCATAACAATTTTATTTTTCAGTAACCTTAGATAGCTTTCTGCTATGAATTCTACTCTTGGAGAACTAATTGTAAAAAGTCTGACTTTTTCTAAGTTACATGGTAATTTTATGAAGTTAGTAGACGTTTTGTAATGAGTTCTATTCGCAAGGAAAACGGGGTAATTGTCCACTAAGAGGTCGATTGTTTGAAACCAAATAGAAAGAATAGCCAGCAACTTTCTACTCGCGGAAATTTAATCGAACAGTGGGAAAGTTTGTTTTCATTAGCAGCATGGAGGAAGGGGAATGCTCTTGCGAAGAAGCCCCGGGCGTTAAAAATTAGATTGAAAATTAAATTGACCGTGGATCCGAATAGATTTTCTTTGGGGAAAGGCGCGCGACAATTTCTTTGTAATGGCACTCTTAATTGAAATTGGCATTTCGTTTTAATCCCTGGCCAACCCCTTTCCTGAGATCCGGTTAAACGCGTACGACCATTAAACGACTCGCATTTTGGCCAAATATCTCAGCGAATGGCTAATTCTAGAAGCCGAAAATCAAGAACACCAATATTGTTAGAATTTCTACGTATTCTTCGCCAAAATACGCGTCGTTTGCTTTTTTAAACATTAAAATCGTCCAATCCGTTCGGGAGTTATGACATTTTAAAGATACGCATGAAATTTCAGGGAAAAATGTGATATATGGTCAGACATTAAATTTTCGGTAAAGAATTTTTTTCTCGAAGGTACGTAGAATTTCGGGGATATGTGTAATGACCAAAAATGATTGTAATTAACCCCTGCAACCAAAAATAATTTTTTTAGAACGATTTGAAATTTTTCAATTATGTCGAAAAATTTTCCAATCGGTAATAACAAATCGTTTTGGAAAAATTATTTTTGGTTGCGGGGTTCGATTACAATGATTTTTGGTAAATAGACATACCCCCGAAATCTTTCGCATTTTGGAGAAAAAAATTCAGTACTGGTAAAACTTTAAACGTTAATAACTTTTTAACGAAGCCTTCATCAATAAATCAGTATTCTTGATTTTCGTCTTATTTTTGCCTCTGGAATCTCCCATTAAAATTTTTTCGAGGGTTGGCTGAACACCCTGTATAAATAACAAGACAATCTAATCAACATTTGTTATAAATAAATAGGAAAGAATTCATGAGAAACAAAATTACTATAAATAGAAGTATAGCACAGCTGTTAATGAACAACGTTCGTTAGAAATAAATAGAAAGAATTGACAAAGAGTGGGGAGTAACTATTTAAACGTCACAATATCGAGAGGCCCAGGAAACAATTTAGGTTCTAGAGCAATATTGCAAGGGGGATGGGGTATCTTTCATTTCGCCAGGGGAACCCTTATAGCCAGAGAAAAGACGGTAGAGCATCTTTCGAGGATCTGGGGCGAGATATTGAACAGCTGGAGGATCTTAGAGAACCGAAAGATTGGAAGGTTCGAGGAGCCTTCGAGTTCGTCTTTATCCGTGGTTCATTAGCCGCTGTTATTTGCTGAGAAAACGTCGCACTTGGCCGAGCTTTGCCTCTCCTAGGCGAAACAGGCTCTAATACACGTCTGTCAAGGCTTTGGAAGGATTACTCCGCTTAATCGTTTGCGGTTCTTAAACTTTATCGCGGCGCGTGAATGGGGACCGGTCCCGTCGAGCCTCAGAACACAGTAATTCCACCTTTCAAGCGACGATTTTTAAACTGGATTAGCCACAGGAATCGTCTCTCTGTTTGTTCTTCCCACGCACGGTGTCTTCAATTCTGGAACTTTTTTATATCTTTAACAGCCATCAGAGACGATTCTCTCCTTCATTGTATTAAATGTTTCCTTTACAGTCTCTTATAACTCTGTTATTAATTGTACGAATCCTATTAATTCTAGTCTGGTAACGTCTTCCGGGTAAATTCGGAGACCCTAGCAACTAAAATTCCGTCTTGGAGCTAAAATTCCAATTACGTCTGTCGTGTGCAGGCTTTGCAATAATAGTCGCTTCAAAATGATAATTTTATGCTCCGTTGATTTCACTTTTCCTAAAAGAAGAAAGAGTCGAACGTAGTTTTGTTATCGACAGAGCACAAAATTATTAATTTCTGCACTCACTGATCATTCTTTTAAGAAACGTAAAATTTTCACACCCGAAAACGAGCCAGAAGTTTTTTTTTTCTGTTCTCCACAGAGAACGCTCAAACCTAATGACTCAATCCACATTTTTACGACGTTCTTCCATTGAAGTAGAAAATCTCTTCGTTCCGTACGACCCACTCGAGTTCCCAGCCTCGAATGGAATGCATCAATTCCGGAGTCTTTTGTTCGGTAATCCACTGTAACCAATTCCCTGCATTTTACAAAGTTCCCTGGAAAATCCACGTCTTAGTTCACAGTACGCAAAATTTAATTTTTATTCGAGGCGGGGGAAACAATTTCTAGTAGCATTAATATTGAATAACATCGATCGTATAAAACTAACTCGAGCCAATAAAAATAGCACGGATCAATATGGTGGCCAGTGTTCGACGGAAGTTCGGTTCGGGCTTATTGTAGAGCTCGATAAGCTCTGGCCAAAGTTCGAACGCGTTCTGAAGTCTAAGCCCATTGTATATTAAATTCAAACTAGTTGTATGGAAATTCTACGTAGGATTTGTCGTTTATTAGCGGTGCACGGAGTTCTCTAAACTGGAATCGAAATCCGGTCGGCGAAAACGCGAAAAATCTTTCGAACTCTAATTGCTGTTCCGTGTTTGCCTCGTTTAGAAACCAATTGTACCGTTTCGTCTCTCGGCTCGATTTGTACATCGTTCCTACATGCTTCTATTGTTTGCAATGGACAACATTTTCAACAACAATTTTGATCTCTTGCATTAAAATTCAACCAAAAAAAAACAAATTTCTCATCCCTTGCACCTTAATTATTTTTTATTTTGAATTCAACAGACTTTCGAATAGCAGGATTAAATGTTGCACATTATAATTAAAAAACTCAAATTCTTCTTCATATTTTGATAGAAACTCTTTGTACCAAACAACTTTCGGTCGAAACATTTTTTTATATTTTTTTGTAGTTCATTTTATCAAACAATGATTATAATCTTCTCTGAATTTCTATTCATTTTCTCGTTGATAAACATTGTTCCAGTGAGAAGTTTTTTGTTATCATCGAACAACGTTCTTCAGAACAATACCTCTAATTTTCTCATTAAAGTCGTTAAATGTTTGCTTAGCAGCTATTGAAAAAATCGTTTCCTAAACATGAATTTATTTTAACCCTCAAAAATCGAATACGATCCATAATTGCAAGATTCCTTTCTAACAAGGATACATTTGTTCGCGTAAAATTGCGAATTCTGCGGGCACGTCGAAGCTTCATCGAACATGATTCAATATAGTCCGAAGGTGATCGAACACGAGCGTGGAGATCGATGGTTTTGCATTCCCCCCTGTGAAAGATCGTTATCCGTTCTCCGGGGACGATGAAAGTTGGCCGTCGAAGGAGTCGCACGACCGCGTCGTTTGTACGGCATATTTGTTCGAACGGGGATCGCCCGGGGTTGACTTATGGGATTATATCTTCTTGTAGCGGGAAGCCATTGGCCCCGACTCGTTTCGCGATCCGTTCCACGGAAGGATACCGTCGATTCCGGAGGGGGAGGGGGTTGCATTCTCGTCGAAACGATCCTGCCGGGAATAAAGAAGCTCCGCGGGTTCAATAAGCAGGACGCTCTAAAATTCAATCGGCATCGTCCGACCAATATTTCATATTTCCCGATATTAGCGGCATGAAACTCGGTGAGTAGTTTCCGCGTCCGGTGCTACGCGGAGAGGGAGAGGGGGGCAATAGCTAATAGCGATCGATGATTACGGACGAGGAGGGTGAAAATATGGGGATGATCGTAAAGGTCGAGGGATGTCGAGGGAGTGTCATCGAGTGTCGCAATATTTGGGTATTAAAGGGGTCGTTTGGCCTCAAACGAGCTGCCTTTTCATTAACCTTTCGCGGCTCGTAATTATTTTCGACCCTTCCGACCAGTAAATTTGGAGAATGCAAATGGCTGGAAGATTAAGGGGGGAATAAAAGGTAATTTTCTAGAATCTTTTGGACGTAACTGTGAAACTTTTTCTGATGAATGTTTAATGTTCTCGAAAGTACATTTCTTGAACTACTTCTGGAAAATTTCGAACAAAAATATTAATTATTGTAGGTGTAATGGGAACCACTGTGAGAGGCATCCAAAGTTATTATTACGTATTGCGATTGCATGTGAATGATAGAATTATTTGAAGATTGAAAGAGTTTCTGGATGTTTTAAAAGTGTTCACTGATTTGTTCAGAAAGTTGTATTTTAGCAACTGACCAGATAATTCTAATATTAATAGAATATTGATATTTAATAGAAAATGATAGCAAGCCCTACTGTACACGGAGTTTCTCCTTTATACTTGTCATTTAATATAGCTCGCGAGACATTAAACGTCTTCGATGCCTGTGCTAATGGCGTTGCACTTCGCTTAGAGTGGAATTTATTGCACGTTCGTTGGGGAAAAAAGTAAATGTACCAGATTTGCCAATAATCGTCATTCCACAACTTAAATATTAATACTTTTATAGTTCCCACTGTGAGAGTCGAGGTTATCTTACGTCAATTCTTCGAATCTTTTTTTAAGGAGCCAGTCTCATGTGAGACCTCAAAAAATCAATTTTTTTTATTTCATTTTTTTAAATTATATTTAAGAATGTCCTGTTAAATTTTTGAGCGATCGATGTCAAGTATTGTTAATT